TGATCTCATTGAAGAAATACTGTTTGGCCTCGTTTCTCTTAAGCTTGAAGGTGGGGGTAAGCAAGTCGTTTTCCGGCTTGAACTCAGTTGATGTCAAGTGGATCTTTAGGGGAATCTCAAATCCGAAGAGCTATAAATAATTAGCTTAGAAGGAAGGAATAAATGATTATAACTTACACCAGCTGATCTTGATAGAGTTTTAATCTCATCTAACAAAAATTTATTTACTACTGGACTTTTAATTAATGCCTCATAATCTTCACTTTCTTATAAGTCTTATTCTTTTGCCCATTTTTATAAATGATGCTTATCTGGTACTACGATAGCCACTAGGTTGTGCTGAAGCGAGTCTCCGTAAACAAATATCTAGGATACATAATTGCTTTCGATCAACTTATTTTCAATTTTATCTGGAATGACATATTCTCCCTATGAAAGCTTAAAGATATTCTTCTTTCTGTCAATGATCTTGATTTTACCATTTTGCTAAAATTGGCCTATGTCTCCAGTATGAACCCAGCCATCTTCATCTATGGTTTCTTTTGTGGCTTTTGGATTGTTGAAATAACCTTTAAAGCAGTTTGGACCCTTGTAGCATATCTCACCCCTAGGAATACTTTACTCATTCTCATCTACATCCTCTGACGTGTATTTCATTTCAGGAACGTCTACAAGCTTGAAATCACATGATGGGAACGGAGCTCCAACATGCCCACCATCAGGGTCGTTCATCCAAGTTATAGAAGCAGGTGCTGCACTCTCAGTTTGTCCGTAGCCCTCGAGAATAGGGCAGCAAAATGCTACTTTCAAAAAAGTTAAAATATCCTTTGAGATTGGTGCAGATCCTGTTACCATCATTCTCATTCTGCCTCCTAAAAGATCTCTAAATTTATTGAATATCATGGTGTCATAAAAAGTGTGGGTGCATTTCCCGTAGTGCTTAAGGTTATATAACTTCTTTTAAAGTCCCCACTCAAACAGTGTCTTGGATGGTCCCTTCAGATCCTTAACTTTTGCTTGCATTCCATCATAAAATCTGGAGAATAATCTTGGAACACTAACCATTAAAGTTGGTCTCAAAACTGCGAGATCATCTTTTAACTTCATAACATCTCCCTAGAAGAATCCGTATCTCACTTGGTAAGTCATGCATGCTATCATGCACATTCTCTCAAAGACGTGAGCCAAAGGCAAGTATGAAATATACACATCATCGTCCTAGAAGCTAAAGACACCATCAAATCTGTTGATAGCTGATATATTAGCAATCATATTTTTATGAGTGATCATTACACCCTTAGGCATACCTGTTGTTCCTGAGGTGTAGCAAAGAGTGTAAACAGTGTCTGGCTCTGGGGTTTCAAAAATTACATTCTAATATGTTTTTCCTTCAGACACTGCTTGTTTATACTAAACTAAGGTTACACCTATTTCTGCAGCTTTTTCAAGATCTTAATCTTTGGCTTCATCAAAATAAATTAGATGGCTGAGAGAGGGAAGTTTGCCCACCGCTTTGATCTCCAAGATAATCTTGATTTTATCAGCTGAAAGCACGAGCGTCTTGATTTGAGATTAATCTAAGATGTATTCAATTGAGTCTTTCCCTAATGTGTCGTATAAAGTGACTACAGTGATTGATGTCATAGCACATCCCAAATCTGTCTCTATCCATTCCTCCCTATTTTTAGCGTAGATTGATAGAAATTTGAACTCTCCATCATGCTCAGTCTAGACCTTAGGGCATAAGTCGTGATGAACTAGGTAAGATGCAATAGCTTTTGATGACTCATAAACGTCCCCATACTTTTTCCATTAATACTCTCCAAATTCTAAGTTATAAAATGTTTTAGTAATTCTAAGCTTTACAAATCTTTCCATCTTCAAGCTTAGTTTGCTTTCTAGTCCCTGTGAATACTTTGCCTGGGTTTTATTTGTAGTTCAATCTATATTGGTTTTTCATATTTATCATTTACTCATAGATATCAGGAAGTGTTCTAAGTCCCATATGATCTGAGATTAAATCGACTCCATCTGGAATTAAAGCATTTCTGAGGATTCTAGTCTCGCCAGGCTTTTTCTCCCCAATGTATTTGCCCATTATTAGTGGTTGATTTCCCATTACTATATATTAGGAATTGGAAATGTTCAAAATGCTAATAAAAAGTGAATTCTACCTTAATGTGTAAGTACTTTTTTGCTAGTTAAATTTTCTATGATTAAAGAATATAAAATTGATGATTCAATCCTTATTCAGTATTGATTCATTGAGTCGTATATTTGCAATCATATTTTCAATGCTGACGTCGATTTTGGCACAACGGGGTTTTGGGGTTTTGGGGTTTTGGGG